AAAAATTCATAAGTAGAAGCATTCGTAAGTAGAGGTACGACTGTATGTGTAATTGGGAAGAAGTTTTTGTGAATTGGAATGTCCACATGTGGCTGAGCATACTCACACACACACCCCTGGCAAAGTAGATCTCTGACAAAAAGTTCCATTGACCTTGTTAATCTGTCAACCCCTCCCCATCTTTTTCCTCCCTTTTAGGATTCCCTCCATGTAATTGAGAAGGCTTTGGTGGACAGATCTGTGAGTGGGGCTAAATCATTTACCAAATTCCAGTTTGAGCGGCTTGGCTATTTCTCTGTAGATCCTGACACAACAGATGCAAAGGTGAATTCCAGAAAACCCCTAAAACAAGGGTGGGCAACTATGGGAAGATAGGGGGCTGGCTTCCTTAGTCCCCTAGGAGATCTTGTGGGAGGGCTGCACCATTTTTGCGGGGTGGGGTGGGGTGTGTGGAACAGACCCCCCATGAGAACAGAGGGAGGTCTTTACTTTGTTTTAAAAACAGCCTTTCCTGGGCCTAAAATGAACAACGCTAAAAATGGCCCTAGGGGTTTCATGCAACCTGCTCTTTCCCCACCCCTGCCTGAAAACAATATTGTCTAGGGGTCTTGAATAAACCTTGGGAAACTTACTGTTTGAAACAGCTGTTCCTAGAATCTGACAGCCTGCACAACCGCAGGTGATGCTAGCTTTGCTGGGAAATGTAATCCAAAAAAGTAACTTTCCTAAATTTTGCTTGTGAAGCCAGATTGGAGGGATAGGGAGGCATCTAAACTAACTGGTTGTGGTAGTGGGGTTAGAGAGACAAGCTGTGTTATTAATGTCATTTGCTTCTTCTGCAGCTTGTGTTCAATCGGACAGTGACCCTGAAGGAAGATCCTGGGAAAGTGTGACAAAGTTTCTACTAGTGGTTTCTTGCTGGCTACAAAATTGTATAGGAGTCACTTCCCCAACTCCTTCCCCTGCTTAGACAGGGGTGATGGTGGTGTGCATCACCTGCACAGTTGTCTGCTGTAGTGCCACAGTTGCCTTAACATGCATCCTGAATACAGACCCATCAAATCAATAAAAAGGAGCGTCCAGATGTTTTCCTGTGTTATTGGGGATGGGATTGAAAATGGGAGACAGGAAGGGACATTGCTTTAGCTGCTGTGTCCCTATTGTGGGTGAGTGGGTGTAACATAGTGCCTAAAGTCTATGGACAAAGGTCCCACTGATTCAAAGGTTCTGCTTTACTTGGGTCTGAAAATTGGATTTAGGCCCAAAGGTATATGTTCTTTCAGTTTTCATTTTTACAACTGGATTTTATTTCACAGCTTCATTCTGTATTGCTATTCTGGAATCAGAATGGGCTATGTGAATAGAATAGAATTGGCTTGGATCTTTCTCTTTGTCTTAGGAATTTGTATATCACATTTGTGGACAAAATGTTCCCTTAAGGCAGTTTACATGATCGATTGGTTGATTGCACTTTTATCCCTACTTTCTCCCAAAATGGGATCCAAATGAGATTTAAAATTTCTAAACAATTAAAAGATAACAGTAATGTAACACACACACCCCGTCTGCAGGGGATACATATCAAGACCCCCAGTGGATACCTGAAATAGATAGTGCTGAACCCTATACCGATAATATTTTCAGACCATGATTGGCCATGGGTAACTGAAGCCATGGAGAGTGAAACCACAGATAAGGGTGGACTAGTGTAATATTTTAAAAGAGAGATCCTCAATATCAGCCCTGAGATAGCAGCAACTGCTACAAGACTGCAGGCTGGCATCAGATAAAAGCAGATTCAGTTAAAAAGACATTCAGAGAACCAGCTGAAAGGCCCATTTAAAGGCAGTAAATAATGGCCCAGATACACTGCACAAAGGAGGATGTTCCACAGTATTGGAGCCAGTGCACTAAAAGCATGCCTGACATAACTGGCAACCTGGTGGAAGTGCTTGTAATGTACCTGCCTAACTTACTGAAATCTCTTTGGGTAGGAAATCAAAAATCCCTGTGTACACAGAGGGGAATATGCTCATCTATTTTTATGGTTCTGCCAAAGAAGAAAAGCCATATCCTGGACATACTCAGCATCTTCTTTAGGCAATACCAGGCTTCCATTGAGATTTCTGGCTTGATCTACTCTAGAATCCATTTGGTTGTCTTTTTGGCTATCCACAGGATCCTCAGCACTCTTCCCCAGCACCACATCTCAAATGCATTGATTTTCTTCCTATCCTGTTTTGTTTTTTTTTAAAATATACTGAAATTTATTGCCAGTTCTTCCTTAAGAATAAGAGAATTTCACCATAGAAAATGCCTCTTTTCTCACCACTTACAAGAGGTTACATCTTTTTTAAAAAATAATGTTATTAAATCTAAACACAACCACAAACAAATTTTGTATACACATCTAAAACTATTATCAACAAAAAATATCAAAAACTTAAACTACTAAATAAAACCAAATATACACCACTGACTCCCCACACAAACTGAAGGAGATGTACCACTTGTTATTTTTTTTTTACTGCCCCAAATGTGGAGGGCCAACTGTATTAGCACTTGGCTTTATTTTTTTTTAATAATTTATATTTTATTAACATATACTATTCAAACATATCTAGAAAGTTGACACACCAATTTCTTTTTCAATAATTATATACAAAT